ATAAAATGTGTAATTATGCATTTAATAATTATTCCATGTGTGGTTTAACAAATGTGTAAATAGTTTTTATTTTTTTATTTTATAGTTACTTATCCTTCATGGCTGTAACTTATCTTAAATAAAAAAGGAGCTTGGGTGTTTTAAACTACGATTTGATCGGTAGAATTCTTATTTTATAGGAAATTCATTACAAAACTCTTGAGAAAGTTCAGGAGTTTGGAAAATAAAAATAAATTCGTTTTTTTAGAACACATTATTAGTCAAACAAGAGCTTTCCAACACCTTATTAATTAGAAAAAGTGTTGCTTGTCAGTAAAATGTTTTCGTTAGTAAAAGAGTAGCCCAACAGTTGGCGGTAGGTGGTGATGACTATCTGCCTTTCCTCTAGTCTTACACTGCTAAATTAGGGACGGTTAGCTCAGATATCCCTCGTGTAGCTTTGCGCGAAATTCAAAACAAATAAACTTGTCTGTAAATTTAATTCCAGCCTACATAATATGTAAAAGACAAAGCTAAATTTTTCTATTGTAGCCCTTTTCAACGATTCTTCCCTCTACTGCTTGTTGACAATAAAAAATATTATGACAATGATTCTTCCCTTTACTGTTTGTTGACAATAAAAATATTATGACAATGATTCTTCCCTTTACTGTTTGTTGACAATAAAAATATATTATGACAATGATTCTTCCCTCTATTGCTTGTTGACAATGAAAAAATATTATGACAATGATTCTTCCCTCTACTGCTTGTTGACAATAAAAAATATTATGACAATGATTCTTCCCTCTACTGCTTGTTGACAATAAAAAATATTATGACAATGATTCTTCCCTCTACTGCTTGTTGACAATAAAAAAATATTATGACATAAATATAATTTTCCAGCATATAAAACTCCTTAGTAAGCACCCTATAAGAGTTACAGTTAAATCTCACTTTTCGGTCAAATAAAAGTAGCGAAAGAGTTATCAGTGGCTGCTGCTAACAAGCTGCCTTCCCGCTAATCTATCAATTCAAGATTGGGACTGCTATGGGCATACTTCCCTTGTGTAGCTTTGCGGCAAGTAACGTGATGCTGAGAACTCCTATACAAGTGTCCGACTAGGAATTTAGAAAATACACTAAGTAGATTTATATTATGGTTGAAAATATGCTTTAAAGGTTATAGTAAGAACACGTCACATTATGCACTTATTGAAGGTTTCAAACAAGTAGAGTACACACACAACACACACACATATACGTATATATACTAACGTATAGCCCATCAAAATTGACGGGGCAAATACTACCACCCTTACCTCATGGTGTTCTCTAACCTCACATCTTACAGCTAACTGAAATAAATAAATTTTGCGAAACAAGGAGGCAGAAAAGTGCAGTCGAGGCAGTCAAACGTGTGTAACTTCCTTTGTGAGCTAATCAAAATTAAGATCATTCATGAAATGAATTCGTGGCATATTCATAGAAAATTTTTGGTAAAAATCAGTTGGATTAACAACTTCTAATATACAGAAAAATCAGTGCATTTTGGTAACACTAAGTTCCAACAATAGGTTTTATGTCATGTTGCTTAGCAACAAAAGTATAACCTAATGTGGTTGTTAGTATATGTACTGAAAGTGTGAAATGAAATGTATAGATAAACAATAAAACTGGAAAATTATTTGTTGATTTCTTAATTTAGAGCCTATGTTGATTAAAGGGGTTTATTTTTTGTTAAAAATGAACAGAATAAAATAAAAGTTTCAGCAAATAGTAACGACCACATCTTTGTAAAGAATATAATTAACTTAAAATCCAAGAAAAATTTACTTGAAAGAGCGCTAATACAAATATAAGATACAAAAATGTGAAAAGGAATAAATTAAATAGTCTGAAAAGATCTCCAAATTTTCATACAAATTCATTCATAAGTATATGTGATGTAACTGATTCAAACCATAGATTATGAGTTCAATCATTATTTTTATATTTTCTGCAATAGAACTAATATTAGTAAAGAATACATAAATGTGAAAAACTAAGCCCTTTCAAACTATCAAGAGCACTAATATAAATAAAGCATACATAAATGTAAAAAACAGCAAACTAAACCCTCTGAAACGATCTGTGAATTTGCATACAACATCCGCCATAGTACGTGAGGTATGTTTGATTCAAAGTCGTAGATTATAAGTTCAAAGGTTATTTTTAAAATTTGTTGCAGGAGCACTAAAATAAAAAATGCGGGAGTGTGTAAAAGAATGAGTTAAACCCTCTGAAACGATCTCTTAAATTTACGTACAAGTTTATCCATGGTAAATGAGTGTGTAATTGATTCAAAGCCACAGATTATGAGTTCAAATATTATTTTTTAGATTTTAAGTTCAATTAACCAAAAATGTCTTTATTGGTGAAGTTATGATATTGGTTTTAGTTCGACGGTGTTGTAATTTTGGATTTTAGTTTTTTCACGTTGTAGGAAAGTTTATATTTATATTGCCATATGAATGAAAGTATGCCCAATATTGACTCCATTAATGGTTTAATGATTTAAGTCAACTAAAAAAAAAAATGTCGCGTTGAATATCGTGATATGGTTAAAATATGATGAAGAGAAAAGAGTACCAGTTTCTTCAATAAACGCGATTAATAGTATATAATTATATATAACATTTTTAACTACTGATGAAATGAGATTCAAAAAGAAACTCTTGGTTTATTATTTAAAGTATATTCAAGTGATGTATAAGGTATTACGAATAAACTGTAAAGTTGTGAATCTAGATAATAATAGAAAACTCCACTATACAAATTGTCTTGAATATAAAATCTCTATTCGTTTCCAACAGATGGCAGCCTAGTAGGATAAGAAACACTTGGTATAAAAAAAAGTCGTATCGCTTCTATGTGCTTGAGCTTTCAGTTCCATATAATATATTTACACGTACTATTAATACTATTACTTTCACTCAGAGAGTGTTTAGCTAACCCAAAAATATGTCAACAAACTTATCCTTAATTTTCAGGTTACAAAATAATTTACTAGTCTTTTTCCATTCCTTATTTATACGTGTAATATGCAAAGAAAAATTAGTGTTTCTTGTCTTCTTTAGTTTAATAAGGTGGATGTTTCATATTCATCTAGGATTCAAAACAATTTCTCATTACACCTTTCTGGCCATGTATGTTACTTTAACCTTAGAATGTTTATTAAGGAATGGGTTAATTCAACAGCGCCCCCAGTGGCTCAGCAGTAAAGCTGTGGACTTGTAATGCTATAAACAGGATTTCGATACCCGTGGTGGGCACAGCACAGGTTGCACATTGTGTGGCTTTGCGCTTAATGACAAACAAACAAAGAACAGTAGATTTGCCCTGTAGGTTTTGTTTGCTTATTTGTTGTTTATTGCAAAGCTATAGAATGAGCTATATGTGCTCTGCCCACCGCAGGTATCGAAACCAAATTTTTAGCATCATAAGCCCTGAGGCTTTCCGCTTAGCCATCGAGGAGCACTCTGTATCTGATACGTAAACTCGAGTCCTGAAACGATCCAATTTGCTTGCGCACTACGATAGATATATATAGCGCTACGTCTCAAACGTTACAGGGAAAGTTTTCGTTCAGTTTAAGTGCTCCTGAGTCCTATCATTGCGGCTTCTATGGATGTTCATGTTGCCTTGATTCATTTCTTTAATGGAAAATACTTTCTTTTTTATATAATGTATTTGTTAACAAATATTATTGATCTGTCTTGTCAGTGTAGGGTTTGGTTTCAATAATCATAAATAAATATATTACAACCCTATATCCTAAAATTGCAGTGCTAACAGCGTGGATTTCCAACTGATGAGTCATTGCTTTATAATTATTACCTGTTTTAATTTATAATATTTCATACCCCCTAGTTATAATGGTATATTAATTGCATTATTTACTTTTTAGTTGTGATCTATGAAGGTAGCATGTATTAATCAGAATGCATTAATAATCATTACTTATTTCACAGTAGACACTAGCTTTATGTTCAAAACCACCCCTAGAGTGACTGCGTAGCAACTAAACAACGCTCGAATGCTGTACTTTAGTGTTGAATGCACCTATTGTGGTTAAGTTCTTTTCGCCTTGGTTACCTATTTTTCTGAGTCATCCCCTATCATTTCACATGAACTCTTTCGTGAGAAAGATTACTGTAAAATAGAACGCACTATATTTTCGATTGGTTGGTGAAGTGATATCTGGAGGGTGTATCTTCCTTATTTGCCCAAGAGTGACGTGTATAACGCAAGTGTACTGAGAGAGAGAAATTGGGCTATACAATTTTTTTTTATATAACGCTGTGCTCTCCCAGTCTGCAATAATTTTTTTTCTTGGGACACGTAACTTTCTGAAGTAACGTATCTTCGGAACCCAGTAAAATCCTATCTTATAATTAAGTGTATTCGTTCACTTTATTGTATTTTTCGTTAACATAAAACGCTTAAGATATAAAATCACCAATATCACATTGAGCAATAAAAACCAGTAAAGCTGTTGAAGGTAAATGACATTGGTTTGAGAAAACATTTTAATGCACAAAATATCTATAAAACAAGCATCATCTGAATATTAGTGATGAACTTCGTAGGCGATATTTTTGTTTGATTAAATATCATATATATATTGTAAAGGAAGGTTAGATCTGCGGAATTTCGTCAAACTATAGAACGGTTTAAATACATAAGTAACACAAGCAGAGCAGGAATTCGTAAGAGGCGTCAAATAGTTCCATGGTAAATACGATTAAATGTTCGGAGCAAACTGCGTACAGGGTATAACCTGGAAGCACTTAACAATGCCAGGAATCTTCTATAATGGATAGTACCAAACCACTGAGAGCAGATGTGCGTCATCACATACGCCTACTAGAACTTAAACAAATAGTTGATTGATTATACAGCAAGTCCCCTCTTAAAACAGACATGAAAACGTTTTTCTATAGAGTTACGTTTCAAAATCAATACAGGGATTGTTCAGGAAAGTATGGAGAATTTTGAGAGTAGTGTCCGTCGAGTTGAGAGTGACCAGAGTTTGAAAGTACGTTAACGTTCGTGGTTGATAAAAATTAACACCTAGTTAATGCTTTAGCTAAGTATTAAACAATAGAAGGATTCGTGCTTTATAAAAATTAACAACTAGTTAATGCTTTAGCTAAGTATTAAACAATAGAAGGATTCGTGCTTGATAAAAATTAACATTAAGTTAGCACTTTAACTAAGTATTAAACAATAGAAGGATTCGTGCTTGATAAAAATTAACACCTAGTTAATGCTTTAGCTAAGTATTAAACAACAGAAGGATTCGTGCTTGATAAAAATTAACATTAAGGTAGCACTTTAACTAAGTATTAAACAATAGAAGGATTCGTACTTGATAAAAATTAACACCTAGTTAATGCTTTAGCTAAGTATTAAACAATAGAAGGATTCGTACTTGATAAAAATTAACACCTAGTTAATGCTTTAGCTAAGTATTAAACAATAGAAGGATTCGTACTTGATAAAAATTAACACCTAGTTAATGCTTTAGCTAAGTATTAAACAATAGAAGGATTCGTACTTGATAAAAATTAACATCTAGATAGTGCTTTAACTAAGTATTAAACAATCATTTCTTTCAACAAAATCTATTCAAAACAGGCCAAGTGGTTAGGGCGCTCGACTCGCAATCGGTGGGTCGCAGGTTCGAATCCCTGTCCCATCAAACATTCTCGCCCTTTCAGCCATGGGGGCGTTATAATGTGACGGTTAATCCCACTATACGTTGGTAAAAGAGTAGCCCAAGAGTTGGCGGTTGGTGGTGATGACTAACTGCCTTCCCTCTAGTCTTGCACTGCTGAATTAGGGACGGCTAGCGCAGATAGCCCTCGTGTAGGTTTGCGCGAAATTCAAAACAAACAAACAGCTAACTAAGAAAATACACGAGATTAACTTGTCAAGCAGCGCAACTTATATTATTAAAAACGTACACAAAACATTGGTTTCTCAAGCTGCGCCTCTAGCATCAGTTAGCAACTGTTTCGAGTACTTAATTATCGGTTTTATCCTTAACGCAGAGTGCAGCGCAAAATAAAATCCATCTTTGGTTTACTTGTTTATTTTACACGAAAATATAATGCAGTAAGTGCTCTGATTAATCAGGTATTCTTTGTCACAAAGTTTGTGGTTAAGGCAGGCATTGAAATTATTATAATATTTTCGATTTCAGCAAAAGGCAATCTTTTGTTTCCTTTTAAAATTCACTACCTTGCAATAATACACAATATAAACATTGTTTCAAATTCAAAATCCACATATTCGTCACGATCCATAAATATCCTTGAAATTCCAAAAAATAATACAAGACTTTTCACTTACGAGCTCTGTTTCCTGACATAGCCAAGGTAGTATATATATCTATTGTTCTATCTATATCTAAAGTCCCAAAAAATACAGTTACACTACGTGTACTTTACTGTTCTTTCATCTTAATGCATCTTCGTGCCTATTTTTATTGAATTGAAGGAAGCTAACACTTTTAACGGTTCCCCATTTTTCCAATAACGTGTAAAAGCTTTCAATGAATGTAAAGCACCTACTCTACTCAAAATAACTTGTTTTGGTTGCTGTTACACAGTGGGCTATCTGTGCTCTGCTTACAAGTGGTATTGAAAACCAATTTTTAGTGTCGTAAGCCTACAGAATTACCGCTGAACTAGTGTGTGTTGGGGGGGTGGGGGGGGCTCAAAAGAACTGACATACTTTCTGAATCTGATTTGTGCTCAGTGGAAACTTAACTCGCCAGTGTTAGCATTCCTTTCCACCTTGATAAAACATAAAGCTTCGTAATCTTTTTCTTCCTTTTTAATAATTATCTGTTTCGCTTTTTCATTTTTAAAGCGTTAATTTTAACATGTTGAGAGTTTGATTTTTTATTCTGAACTTGTTTTATAAAAAAATGCTAAACAAGGAACAAATCTAATTTTATCGGCTAAAATGTTATTCTTTCCAAATACTTGAAGTTACAGCTCTTAGTGCAGAGTTCTTGAAGTGAATTTGTGCTCAATTTTTAGCTACATACTCTATCGTAAATAGGATATTCTTGTGAGGGACTCAAGGAATGGCTTCGAAATTAGTTTTACAGGTACTTTCCTTGAAACTTAAAGAAGATGAAATACTCCAAAAGGGTCACAAGATGGCGATTTAAACAAAATGGAAAAATATGTTGAACGTTAAAGATGCATTAAAGATAAAGAAAAAAAGAGGGTAAAACCTTTGAAGAACTCCTGAACTAGAATCTTAAATCATTAAGTAAAATTCACAGCTTTTCATACCCTTTTCTGCTGTAACATCTAAAATACTAAAATGAGACGTATATGAAATCCACAAATCTAACTTCCTTATCTTCACCGTATATAACTAGAAGGCAACACTTTACGATTCTAAAATTTAATTTCATTCTAGGATACTTAACTAAGTTCTACATGTCTTGTGTTCAGTCATCATTTATCGTTTATTTTAAGTTTATTCTAACGAACAATATATTTGTTTAAATTATTTCAAAATTAAAGGATATAAGTCAATTAAACACCACTGAACCTTAAATGCGTGACGTCATTTACTTACGTTATTGCATAACATGGGCCACAAGAGACCCGTCAAAGTAAAAAAAAGGATTCACGTCACGTTTGTATGTAAATTACTTTTATTAAATTTAAAATAACACAAGCAGGATGGTCACAATATCACAATAGCAACAGCAATATTCGGAAATACTGTACCATCAGCAAATATATATTGCAATTCCTCAGGAATGATAGCTATAGATTGCATTTAGTTAGAACAAATTGTTGTTTTCGTTGTGTGTGTGAGTGTGCAGAGAAGACAGGTGTGCATTTTGCACATGCTGTGCTAGTGTTCCTGTCTTTAGAAATAGGGAACATCGAAAATCTTTTTGTGTTTGGAAGTAATAGCAGTGTCACTTGATGTGCCCTCATTGTATTATTCTTGACACTGTTTTATTACAGTGTTCCAGATTTAATTTTCCATCCATCACTTCTAGTATTAACTTAAAAGCTGCTATTTCAGTCTCTGACAGTTAGTAGTGTTACACATTTTTGTTTGTTTCTTTATTTCATAATTAAGTACAAAGTTTGCACAATGGGCTATTTGTGCTGTGCTCACCACGGATATCGAAACCCGATTTTTAACGTTGTACAACGCCCGCAGACATACCGTTGAGCCACTGGGGGGCGTTACACGTTTTACCTAATTTTTATCTTTATTCCTCCGAAATACACTTCAAATTTAATAGTTTTCACTTTTCATCACTCAACTCTGCGTTTCTGCAGAACTACACATCCATTCTAACCCAATAACATTTTGTATTACGTTTCTTTTTAATTGTCATTCAGATTTGATTCTTAGCTCTAACTTTACGTCTACTACCTCGTAAGATGTCATTACTAACTTCTTTCTTTCTCGATTCTTATTGTTTTATGATATATTTAGATTTTATTCTTAGCTCTAACTTTACGTCTACTACCTCGTAAGATATCATTGCTAACTTCTTTCTTTCTCGATTCTTATTGTTTTATGATACATATTTGAATATTAAGTTCACGCTTACCCGTATTTGTTATTTATTTGCAATACCTCTGACTCATCCATCTTTATATCCAACTCAAAATTAATTCATAAACCGTGACATTTAGTGAGAAAAATAACTAACATTTAAATTATGTCCCATACTGTTACGAGCCACTCAATAAATCAAGTGTCCATGATTTTCTAACTTAATGCGTCAACAACTGACATGTCTGGCATCGTCTATGGCAAGCATAGATAGGAGTTGTAGCACAAAATCGCTGTGTGTTTTAAATTTAAACAAAAAGCAACAATAAAAAATCTAAAACGCAATCTTTACAATTTTGTATTTACGACGCACATGTGCGTCCTCAGCTGAACGTATTAAGTCTATTTTATCTGTTTATGTTAAAAAGATGACTTTCTCAGCCCTTGCTAAACTGTTGTTGTTGTATTTTTTATTTTTTTGTAAACACTACAGTCAACATTTAGGAGATCGTTAAGCACGTTCGGCTAATTTCATCTGCATTTTTTAAAAGCGTATTTGTTTGTTTGAAGTTAAGCACAAACCTACATAATGGACTATCTGTCCTCTGCCCACCACGGGTATTGAAACCCGGTTTCTAGCGTTGTAAGTCCGCAGACATACCGCTGTGCCACTGGGGGGCAAAAAAAAAGAGAAATATGGAAAAAGGTGAACTATTTTGTTCGCTCTCGTGTTTCTAACGTGAAAAAAACAATAATATTTTTAAGCTAGTAGCTTACATTTAACATTGTATGCTAATAAGATAAAAATTTTGAATTTGTTGACACAACAGTTACCCTAGTCACCCTTAAAGAAAGATATCGCGCATAAAAAATAAGTTTTTAATCCGAGATAGAAACTCAATTAAAACAATTGTAAAAAAAAATCGTACATAAAAGTAAACTGGCGGCAACTTTTCAAATGGCTGCGTTTTTTGTTTTTATTTTCTTAAAACATTAGCTAAACATGATGTCTTAACGGTGTGTAAAATAGATTTGCACCTTTTGTTACTGAATCCAACATAATAAACTACCAGTTGAAGTATAAACTGTAACATTACTCTGGAGTAAGTGCTTCGCATAAACCAAATTTAGGAACTGTGACAAAGATTTTGCTCTCTCAAAACATACAAAAGTATGAAAAAACTTGAAGGACTAAAAACACATCTCTTTCACTTGAAAAACACATTTCTTTCACTTGAAAAAAACACATTTCTTTCACTTGAAAAAACACATTTCTTTCACTTGAAAAACAAACGACTTTTTTCCCCAGAAACTTCTGACTGTCTTATAACCGTTGTACGATAATTTAACGATAAACTCACCAGGAGACGTAGCATTGTCAAAAAGCAGAATGGAGAATCATAAATATATAGACCTTCCCTCCCACCTTTCCTCCCCCCTAAAAAGTCTACGTTCAAGGTTAGATAAAGAGAAATAAATATAAATTTTGTAGAGTGATAATTGCTGTGAATGCTGTTTGATTACTTTTGGATGTACAACAGATGCGTAAAATATTCTAATCAAATTTAATTACCCTAACTGAGAACCATTAAATGACATCAAATTTCACTCACAAATCTTCTGACTATTTTAAATCAATATTTAGGCCAAGGCCAAGAGAAACTGAAAACTTTTATTAACTCGCCCCCCCCCCCCCACGGTTTATTACAAGAGGGAGGAACAGGTGCCGGAAGTTTGCACCTATGCAACAGATAATTTAAAAACTTACGACTCACTGTCACGATAAATTTCCCCATTAACGTTCAAATACAAGTGTACACATGTATATACAATGTAGTTTTTAATATGACTTCTGCGTCGTATTCTTATTAACGTACATAGCTTTTTATCCTCGTGAATGTATACAGAGAAGCCTTAAACTTTATTTTTATAAACATCAAGTATTTCTTTAATATAGAGATGAAAATGCGCAGAATCCTACAATTCGGTTTCGATAAAGCTCTTATATCTTAGCTCTGATTTGATCTCTTAAGGTTGTTTACCACTGATGTAGAAACATTAATGTTATGCTTTAATCAGTGCTTAAATAAAAACCTCTTTTATACAACACATTCTGTGGTGTTTTAGGGGTTTCTTCAATGTGATAAAATATAAACTTAGGTGAGACGGGTCTATACCTAAGAGAAAATACACCAGTTGGGTGCATCTAGTTTCGCAGTTAAATACGTTAAGTAACCTGGAAAGAGCTACAAATACTTAGAAAATACACCAGTTGGGTGCATCTAGTTTCGCAGCTAAATACGTTAAGTAACCTGGAAAGAGCTACAAATACTTAGAAAATACACCAGTTGGATGCATCTAGTTTCGCAGTTAAATACGTTAAGTAACCTGGAAAGAGCTACAAATACTTGATATTTATCAAAATAAAGTTTAAGGCTTCTCTGTATACATAGCTTTTCATCCTCGTGAATGTATACAGAGAAGCCAATATTCAAAACAAACGTATGACAAATAGAGTGTAGTGTCTGCGATAATGATCACGTGAGCGCGTGCTGACAGTAAAAGCGCACGTAGAGACGTAGTCTGACAGAACAGCTGCGTGCATACAGTTACCCACGCGTGGGTACAGTCTGTATTGACGATAAGCCCGCAAAAGCAAACAGGTAAATCATCCTTGAACGTTGATATCGCGCATTCTTTTTAGTTCGTTGAGAACAACAAAAAAGTGTAGCTGGTTTATTTTCTACGTTGCTACTAGTGCAGAACCATAATCAGCTGCATATTCCAAAAATGGCTAAAGAAGTAGAAAATAAAACATCAATTCCAAACGTTGCCACTTGAATCAGGAACTTTTGAAAGAACGAAATGACTTTTTATTCGATATTTGTAGAAGGTTTGTTACATGTTAGAGAGTTACAAAAAATAAATAAAAACACACATATATAATTTGGAAACCATTAAGCTAAGAAAGCGAAATTTGGATCACCATGACGACTAGACGATTAGCTTTGCGAAAATTCGGACTCTCTAACCTGTGGTCGAGAGACAGCGTGTGTAACATCATACTCTTGGGAGCAGAAGACGTAGGAAAGACTGGTAAGCTGATATTTTTCTTATAGAATTTTCAAATTGTACCTTACAAGATTTGTTTGGTTCGCATAGAAGTCAGTTGTATGATCTTATAAGCATTTGAAGTTGTTAATTCGAGAAGAAAAAAAATTAAATGACAACTTAAAGTGATCTTAATTATACAGAGACAAACTTTAGCGCTGTGTTTACACTGCATAAATGAACTTTATGAAACCAAATATGTTTTTATCCCTAAATCAGCAGGCTAGTAATATTAATTTATTTAAAGAAACTAACAACTGTACTATAATGCCAGTAATAGTTTTTAGTTAATGTAGAAATAATGTAAGATTGTGGCGAACTTTTATCATTCAAACTGTGATAAACAAGTTTCAATAGCTCGCAGTAGGTAGTACAGGGCAATAGACCAAACAGAACGTTTACTCTAAACTAAGTCTATAAACAAAGATAATTTGAATTAATATATCCCATATCTTGAGCAAACCTGTTTAAGCGTTACTGTACGCATGATGGCAACATGAATATTTCCAGTAAAATGTATATAGATCGAAACTGAACACACCCACTAAACAGGACATCTAAGAACAAACTAGTCCACTACGATGGATCTAAAAAAAAACATACCATACTAGTGTTCTTTCCTAATTTATAATGATGACAAGACAATTATTGGAATACTTTGGTTTTGTTTGTTTTGAACATCATGCAAAACTACAAAAAGGCTATCTGCGCTAGCCGTCCATAATTTAGCACCAAAAGATTAGGGGTTAAGGCAGCTAGTCATCACCACCCACGGTCAACTCTTGGGCTACTCTTTTACTAACGTATAGTGGGATTAACCATCACATTATAACGCCCCCACGGCTGAAAGGGCGAGTCAACCGCCGTAACCACCTGGCCATGCCGGGCCCATATGAACAGATTCGTAAAGACTAAAGACTTATTCTTTAGATTGATTATCTAAAATCAGTAAATCGCCTAAGTACACCCGGATCTTTAAATGAAAAAAAATCACGTGTATTAGCAAGTATCTCTAAATAAAATAGAAGATAGGAACAAACTTAACTACTAGCTTAAAGCTAAGCATTCATTCAAGGCCCTCCAAAGCCTGATTCGTGGCCTGCACTATGACCAGATATTGCACTGTTAATCATTATACTACTCAAGAATAATCAAAATGGGAATGATGTATTCCTCAACAAGCTAAAGCCCAGTCCTTGGTTTTATAGTCGTGATCTAACTTGGCTCAGTGGGGAAAATGAATGGAGACTATTATACTAGACTTGGCCTATAAAACTATCAATTATTTCCCTAGTGAACATCTTTACAAACAGTCATCAAGTAATGTGAACCTTAAAAAAAAGCACACTAATCCACTAGGTAACAGGTAGAATGTTATTCCCTATGTTACAATATAGACCACTAATCCACTTGCTAACCCCTCTGAAGCAATAGAGTATTAACTGAATTACACCCATAAAAGCAACTAATTCGTTAGCTAACACCTCTAAGTCAACAATTCATTCTCTGTGTTATATTCCTCGAAACAACACACTAATACACTAGCCGACGTCTCTAACACACAGCGAATTTTTCAATGGTTCTTAACCAGCCAGTCAACATCACTGAAACAGAAGATTATTCACTAGGGTTCATTCCTAAAACCTCAGATTAATCAAGTAACCAACATATCTGACACAGTAGATTATTATTGTTTTCAGTCCTCAAATAGCAGATAAATCCAATCGTCAAAACCTTTAAAAAAGTAGATTCGTTCTCTTGTCCAAACCTGTAAAAAGTACAAATTAAATTATCAGTTAAGACTCTTAAGAACAGAAAACTCGTTTTACTGGTTCATTCGCTAGACTTTTAAGAACAGCTGGCTGTTCCACTAATCATGACTCCGAAGAAGAACACATATGTTTTAGCCTACACCTCCAAAAAGTATACCAGCTCATTGATTTCAATGAACAACAGAATCAACAACCTCAAAATAAAAGTGATTTGTCTGCTAAGGTACAATTCTTTAAACAGACATATTTTTATTTGATTGTAATGATTAATTGATAAGACGTGCTCTTTCATTTGGTTTATCTTATGATAGGAACACAACTACTAGCTTGTATCCCTTAAAGCTAAGCATTCATTCAAGGCTCTGGATTTCTAAAATGAATGATACTGTTTTCCCCAAGACTACCTTCTTAGCGATTAGATTCCTTTAGGAGGACAAACCTACTGATTTAGCTTATATAATGACAATATTCGATTAGCACAAGAGTGACGGTGAGTTATGTTGATGAGCTGCCTTGTCTATAATTTCAAAACTATGGATGGTTAATGTAGTTATCCGACACAAACAAACATTTCACTTCAAATCCTAGAGATCAATTCAGTTTTATTATGATCATTTGTTCTAAAGCCTCTCACAACCGATCATTAAGTAGAGTATTTGATTTTAGTAGTCATTTGTCACTAGGACGACCGAGATAATTATTCTTCAGAAAATCGGTTTGCCAATAGTTTTCAATATGACCGATGTTTTTATACGTCTGAAGTACGAGTTTTAACTCAAAGAAAAGCTGGCGAGCTTCTGTTTGACAGTTTGTTTTTATACGTCTGAAGTACGAGTTTTAACTCAAAGAAAAGCTGGCGAGCTTCTGTTTGACATTTTGTTTTTATACGTCTGAAGTACGAGTTTTAACTCAAAGAAAAGCTGGCGAGCTTCTGTTTGACAGTTTGTTTTTATACGTCTGAAGTACGAGTTTTATCTCAAAGAAAAGCTGGCGAGCTTCTGTTTGACAGTTTAAAAATGCAAAATGTAGTAAAAAAGGTTTTCTCTGAATCTTATAATAACCAGAAAGCTATTCTAGGCAGAGGCGTAACTTTGTGGAGAAAATTTTCTGTAGCTAGGATATGCATGTAGATATTATATCAAAAAACTTTTTACTGATATTAAAAAAGTGAGGAGGTCATGTCCCCCGAGTCCCACGTGAAAATTACGCCTGTGGTTTCAAGTCTATCCTCGCGCTGTCAGAAGTTGTTTTTCTACCTGAGACATCGTACTTACTTATCATTGAATAAATACAAGGACCCGTCAAGTGGCACAACAGTGTTTTAAACCAGTAAAATACATAGGAAATAAATTAAACGTTGTTTGCGGAAGCTAAATTAGTAAGTATGTTCAGTAAGTTTTTTAAGTGCATTTCAGCACCACCGCAACTCAACTCAGTGCGTCTTAGAAAAAAAAATCATATTAACTAAAACGCAGAGTAAAAGTGGTAAGTAGAAAGATCGTTCTTTGGAGAATATTAAACATTTTAATATATATATATGTGTATGTGTGTGTTTATCTTCCCCTTACCTGTTTAAAAATTAAATTTACAGTAGAATAATGTTTATTGCTTATTTGATAGTCTATGGCATACATTAATGTTAAGCTACTTGTTTTTCAAGAGTTACAAAAACATCCAAACTTTACCTTCACATTTAAAGGAAATAATAAATAAAGTACAATTTTAAAAATATCTAAATAAACCCTGGGAGATTTTAAACTTTGAATCTTCTGATGCATCCAAGAGTCAAGTAGAAAAAATACAGTTCGTGTACATAAAAAATAAAAAAATCTACAGAAGATGTTTAACACATGTAAAACGCACTTTCTCTTTATTTTCATGTCTATCTTACGGTTTGGTTGTAAAAAAATCGTGATGATCATAGATAAGAAAATAAAAAGTCTCGACGTCTTCAAACACTGGTCCAGTCTTGGTGAAAAAATATAACATCTCTCTAGCCTCGACCTTTCAAATACTGGTCAAATCTTGGTGAGAAAATATAACATCTCTCTAGTCTCGACGTCTTCAAACACTGGTCCAGTCTTGGTGAGAAAATATAACATCTCTCTAGTCTCGACGTCTACAAATACTGGTCCAGTCTTGGTGAGAAAATATAACATCTCTCTAGTCTCGACCTTTCAAATACTGGTCAAATCTTGGTGAGAAAATATAACATCTCTCTAGTTTCGACCTCTTCAAATACTGGTCCAGTCTTGGTGAGAAAATATAACATCTCTCTAGTCTCGACCTTTCAAATACTGGTCCAGTCTTGGTGAGAAAATATAACATCTCTCTAGTCTCGACCTTTCAAATACTGGTCCAGTCTTGGTGAGAAAATATAAAATGTCTCTAGTCTCGACGCCTTCAAACACTGGTCCAGTCTTGGTGAGAAAATATAACATCTCTCTAGTCTCGACCTTTCAAATACTGGTCCAGTCTTGGTGAGAAAATATAACATCTCTCTAGTCTCGACGTCTTCAAACACTGGTCCAGTCTTGGTGAGAAAATATAACATCTCTCTAGTCTCGACGTCTTCAAATACTTATCCAGACTTGGTGAGAAAACATAGTAGTGTAATATTTTTGTTTTATTACTTTATGTATTACTAAGTTCGTCAGACGGCAAGGATTGACTAGCTTTTGAAACTGTTTGATTTGCTTCAGATTTATCAGTTCTTCTCAAGTAAAAGCAAGTATGTGGTACCTTTAATCTGAACAAAACTTTGCTTTAAACCCAAGTTTATAGCAGTTTATTAGACATTTTAACACACAGTTAGACCAAACGTTGTACTCAAATTTTCTAAGGTTTCGACCTTTTTTTTTTCATTTTATATATTATAAATTAACGATTACATTGCAGGTTAACTTTTTAATTTTTGGAAAACTTATAAATCAATTTTTTTTTCGTAACAACTGTGATTACTTCAAACGTTGTTTATATTTTCGAAAGGTTGTTAGTGCTATATTGGTTATGAAACTGTAAAGGAAGAAATTAAAGCTGAATACAAAAATAAACGTGAAACCCGGTGGATGTAAAAGTGCACTATGCTTACCCTGCTTGACTACCATGGCGTCTCAGTAAGTTTTAAGAACAAAACTCCATACATTCCCACGATAAACACTCTTACTCAACTCATGACGCTTGATAAGGAATTTGACAGAAGTCGAGTGTTTT